TTCAAGATGGCGACTGGAGCAGGATCGGCATAGCTTTCAGCCGGCTACGTCACATCGGCTGACGTATGCGCGGTAGAGGTTGATGACCGTTCGTGCAGAACTAGAAGTATTATTTATATATGGATCTATCATTAGTAGTAAGGTTGATGATTTAATTAAAAATCAAATACAGANGTTCTGGATAGTCGGTTAAAAAAAGGATAAAAGAAAGCAGCTATTTCTTTTTTGACGTTTCGTTCGTGATCAGGAACTTTTTCAAAAGGCTTTTATTGTTAAAATTGTTATTGTTAGTTAAATAAAACCTAAAATACAAACAAACTAGTTAATATTTAGAAACATTTTTTTTTCCTGTAATTACAATTATTTTAATAAAAATATAATTTTGTCAAATACATACCTAAACATCCATTTTCCGTAGAATAAATTTTTAAAAACTATGCATCAGTCATCGTATATTGGACAAATTTGCACAATATAATATTGTGTTTTTTCATTTTAAATTTGAAAAAGGCTTTCATTTTTTAAATGTTGTAAGCGTACCAGGAAAATATTTTTAATCGGCAATGTGGTGCGTGGATACGTTGAAAATGAAATGAGCGATATAATTATGATAAAATCTAAACAGGTAGTACGCCTAGCGTTAAATGTTATTTGTTTATATGATAATAAGTGGAAGTAACTAAATCGTAATTATTATTATTTGATTAAATTATGATATATTTGACTTAAGTTTTTAATGTCAGTTTTGTCGTTAATACTCTCTTTATTTTTTTTATTTGAATCATTTCTTGGATTAATCTTTTGGTATAATTTGGTTCTTTGACAAGAATTTTAGTTTAATCAAAATTAAATCTGTTTATTTTTTCTTTAACATGTTTGTTAAGTGCTGTTGCACAATTTTTAGTATATTTATGACCCTTAATTCTCTAAATTTTGTCATATCATACCTATATAATGACCACTACAATCATTGCATGGAAAAAAATATACTACATGAGATTATTTTAGTATGGGATTTTTACTTTTTAAAGGAGTGAAAAATTTATTTAATTGATTGAACGATTTATGAGCAACTAAAATGTTGTATTTATATAAAATAGATTTAATTTATTCGGATAAAGATTGTACATATGGTAATGCAATATACTGAAAATTGATAGAGTTATGATTAGAATTTATTGTTTTTTGTTTTTGGATGTATTATAAAAATTGAAAATTCTTTGATTGATAATTTTGTTATAAAAAAACTTGGAAGGATAATTATTAGGTATTTAGTAATATGTTTTTTATTTTATTTATAATTTTAGGCATATAAATATTACTATTTAAATGTATTGCTCTATTTATTAAACCAATAACTACACTTTTTTGTGTGTTATCGGGTGGTGAGAATTGAAATTTAAATATGTACCTGAAGAAGTAGGTTTTGTAAACCATTTAGTTAAAATCTGATTATTTTGCGGATTAAAGTTAAATCGAGAAAATTAACTTTGTTTTTATTTTCAATTTTGATAGTAAATTGTAATTTTGGATGAAAATTGTTTCATTTATTTTCATTTATTTAAATTGTACTCATTTAAAATATATCAAAATCCAAATTATTAATTACTTCTTCCAAATATTCCATAGTTAATTGTGCTATTGTTGATGAAATGGGTGCTCCCATTGCACAGCCTTCTATTTGTAGGTAAAAATCATTTTTATATTGAAAAAAATTAGTAGTGAGTGTAAGTTTAATACCAATTAAAAATTCATTCAAAGGGAGAGTAGTATAATTTTGTAACAAATTCCATTTTTTTGTAATTATTTTAATTACTAAATCTATAGGAATGTTGGTGTATAAAGATGTAACATCTAATGAAATTAATCTATAATTATTAGGTATATTGATTGTGTCAATGAATTTTTTAAAACAAAAAGAATCCTTTATGTAATAATCATTTTGGCAATTTATTTTTGATATAATATCTGATAAAAATTTTGATAAATTATATAAAGGCGATTGCATACTAGAAACAATAGGGCGTAAGGGTATGTTAGTTTTATGCAGTTTTGGGACACCATATATTTTTGGGGGTTGTGCATTGTGGATCAACAATTTCTTAGCCTCATTTTCATCTATAAATTATTTTTTTTGCCATTTTTTTTATTAAAGTATTATTTTTATTTTGACAATTATTTGTTGGATTTGAGTTTATTTTTTTATATGTATTTGTGCCATTTAGTAAATCTAACATTTTCGAGTTATATTCAGAAGTGTTCATTACGACTGTTTTATTACTTTTATCACGTTTGAGGTTAGTAATTTGTGGATTTTCTTTGATGAAATGACGAGTTTTATTAATGTTTTTTAAAATTCTTTTATGTGTATTATTTAATTATGTTCTATTATGTTTTTTATGGTTTTTATAGTTGGTGACTGCATTAACAACATTAGCTCTAATTGTGTTTTTAACATTATCTGTTTTATTTTGAATAGCTGTCTCTACAGATGCAATGTAATCACCAATAGGTAAGTCATTCTCATAGGTTATAGGTAAAGCAAAATTTGGACTATATGCTAATGTTTCTTGTATTTCTTGAGGTATAAAAGTATCAGATAAATTTTGAAACCAATTAGAAATGATTTTACTATTACTAATTTTTTTCAATATAAAAATGATTTTTACCTACAAATAGAAGGCTGTGCAATGGGAGCACCGATTTCATCAACAATAGCACAATTAACTATGGAATATTTGGAAGAAGAAGTAATTAATAATTTGAAATTATATCGTTCATTTCATTTCCAACGTATCCACGTACGACATTGCCGATTAAAAATATTTTCCTGTTACGCTTACAACATTTAAAAAATGAAAGCCTTTTTCAAATTTAAAATAAAAAAACACAATAATATTATGTTGTGAAAATTTGTCCAATATACGATGACTGATGCATAGTTCTTTAAAAATTTATTCTACGGAAAATGGTTGTTTAGGTATGTATTTGACAAAACTATATTTTTATTAAATTAATTGTAATTACAGGAAAAAATAGTTTCTAAATATTAAGTAGTTTGTTTGTATTTTAGGTTTTATTTAATTAACAATAACAATTTTAACAATAAAAGCCTTTTGAAAAAGTTCCTGATCAGAAAAGAAATAGCTGCTGTTTCTTTTATCCTTTTTTTAACCGACTATCACACCAGAACCCAATTCCCAAGAAAAAATGTATAAAATATATATATATTGTTATGGGTAGTAATATATATGTGTATGCGCCACTATTGTTATGAGTAGAAATATGTATGTGTATGTGATTTGTTTGTACAATTAATATAATTATGATCCTGTTGTGTATAGGCGTATGTTGTAATTTAAGTTGTTAATTATACCCTGGCTAGCTTTCGACCCTTCTCAGTAGTAAGTTCTAGTGAGGTTAAAACTCTGCGGAAAACCAAACAATACACCACACTAAACAAAGGATATTATTGAGAAATTATTTATTTATTAGTTTATTTATTTATTTTATATACAGGGTGATTCACAACTTATCCAAAAAAATTTGGGAATAGATGCGGTATGAGAAATGGAGTCAATATTGTAAAAAAAATTTTGTAAAATCCTTAGTTTCTGATAAACAAATTATTGAAGTTATAGCACATTAAACCACCACATAGCTGGACAACTGTAGTCTCTAGCGTCATTCGCAATACGCGTGGAGAGCCATGTGACTCCTAATACTGAAATCCGTCGTTGCGGTAGTTTTTACCTGTTATCTGTGGTATTTACATCAGTTTTTTAGTAGTTAGTGTCAAAAATGGCTTGCGTGTATAGCAACTCAGAGTTGATGGATATCGTTTTAATTTATGGTGAAGCAAGACAACATTTGTATTATGGTGAAGTATTTGTGTTATGGTGAAGCAAGACATCATTTGTGTTAGTTCGTAGAAAGTGAGTAAGACGGACCCAAATGTGTTTACACGTGAGTGGATAAAATTTTGAACAATTGCTGTTGCAGCATCGGGTATGTCAAATGATTTTATTATTTAAAAACACAAATTAATTTTATTAATAATTAATAAAGGCAAAAGCATTTGAATTTGCCGATATAAAATAGGTGCGATAAAATTCTATTTACATATTTCTTTCCTTGCGAAAGTTTTTGTCCGTTTTTATCACGCCGCCATACCGGTCGCATTGTGCGAGGTCAGGTATTACAGTGGACCAGTTTCCAGTGCCGTGCAGAAGTGTATTTTTAAATCAATTTCGAACTGACCTTTTTAATTTTTGTTTACAAAATTATATTTGTAAGGGTCCCCTGTACAGTTGACGCCACCCAAATGTGAATGCATTTTGGTAGTTATGGAAATTTCATCTCGATTTTATCGTAGTAAATCAGACTTTTTTTAATGGCGTAACACAGAGAGGGTATTCTTATGGATAAATTCGATCAAGGCATTGTCTTCCGCGTCACTTGAAACCTTCCCGACACCTTGCCTGATAGATCTTTGTAATTATTGTTCTCGCCAGCGTTGTTTAATACAAAATATACAACTCTTACTGACATTTAAATCAGCAGCCACTTCACTCAAAAACCAATTATCTTCTAATTTAGCTATTGCCCTTGCTCTATGCGCTTCAGTTAAATGCTCCGGCATATTTCACGTTACTTGTTTACATTTAATTACGTTAATGTCTAAATGACATATATGTATATTTGACAACTATTGATATTTACGACTATGATTTGAAGTTTAAATTACACGGTACAATATTGCCGTTCACATTTGGGTGGCGCCGACTGTACAATCAAATATCTACTAATAATTTTTTCACGTTCGTACTCAAAATCGACTGGAGTAACCGTAAAACGAATGGATATTGAATCACAAGACTTGGGTTAGTTCAGATCTGATCTAGTTTCACAATCAATTGGTAGTTAAAACAAGTACACCCCTTAAATATTGCTTTATTATTCACAAGTCGACTTACAATTTCATTTACCCTAACGTTATTCTAAAAGCACAATTCCTTGAACACTGCCAGTTTTGAGTAAAGCACCCGTAGCAGCATCTCGTCGTCAACTAAGATCTCCCCTGGCACCAGAACCCTCCTCAAACTTTCAAGCTTGAAAGTTACCCTCACAGGTAAATGTTCAGGAACCACTCTACTCACCTCGATGGTGAAATAGACCCCGACTGTAGCCTGAGCTATCGGATAACAAAAGGTGGGTATGCAAAACTTTGCTTCGTAGAAGTAGAAGTCGCTGACCTTGTCGCTTTGGGATATCAGATGGGTTATCTTGTATTTCCACGCTNAGTAGTTCCTCCTCTCACAATTCCAACAAACTGGATACCTGAAGTTCACTTTCCTGCACCAACCTCACTCTATCCTTGCCTCTGGAGGCTCCTCTATGCATATACTTGCATGTAATACAAATTTCCTTTTGATTTAACTATCCTGCTCCACTTATTTCCAACTTTTAAATTCCTCAAATTTTACTCTTCCCACTCCTTTTTTTTTATTTTGTAACTAATTTCCTTTTTCCTCCTTCTTTTGTTTTTTCCTTGATCCTCACTATTCCTTAAGGTCCTTACACCTTCCCTTATATTCTTATACTGTTCTCTTTTTTTTTTTCTTCACTTCACTTTACACTTTATTATCTATTATTTTCTTTTCTAACATTCTACTGACAAATTTTATATTAATTTCCCTGAATTATTGTTTAATATTTTTATTTTAATTTACATTATCAAATTTTTTTTTTAACCTAATATTGAATTTTTATCTGCCATCATCTTCACTCTGTCATTATTTGACATTTTTTAATTTTTACTTATAATATTTAAACTTCAAATTTTTGATTTATCTCAACATTCCCAAATTTGTTTTCAATCTTTTCAACACTCTGTGTTGTAAAAGATTTGAGAAACAAATTTCTGTATTATATTTTCTAATAGTTCCAATGTCTCGTTTATCTTTCATTGTCATTATGATGTGTTATTGTCATTTATGTTGTCAGGTCTGTGAAATTTGTACAATTGACATATGTTAAAAATCCCTCTAATTTTACTTGTGACTGGGTCTATTAGTTCATAACTATTAACTCCCTTTTTTGTATTGATTATAAAAGGACCCTCATATGGTAAAATTAGCTTGGCACATTTTTGTTCAGATCTATTTGCTACTCGTAATGCTTTCACAATTACTAGTTCACCCTTCTTAAAAGTTGTTCTGTTATTTTGTTTTTTTAGTCTTCGTCTAATGTATCGTTCAAATGATTTCTCTAATCTCTCATTAACCCCGTCTATTAATGTCTCATAATTTACAGAGTTCTCAAATAACCATGGTCGGTCTGGATGTATTTTATAAAACAAAGTTATTGGAGCTACCCCAGTTGTTGTATTGGATATGTTATTTATAAAATACTCCACATCCTGTAATTTTGTATCCCACAATGGCTGTTCAGTATGGACTAATATACGTAAGTAGTTTGTTACCTCTTTTATGTATCTCTCGGAAGGATTTGCCGATGGATGTCGTATGCTTGTAAAATTCATCATAATGTTTTTTTTTTCATAAAATTTTTAAAATGTGTTGTAAAATAACTCGCATTATCTAAAACACATTGTCTTGGATTCCCGTGCTCATTTATGTATTGTCTTATTATTTGTTTAACAGTTGTTGTATTCGTTCTTTTACAAGCGTATGTTCGTATAAATTTTGAAAAAATGTCAACAATGACTAAAATATGTCTATTATTATTGTATGTCGGTGTAATATTAGAAATAAAGTCTATTGCGATAATGTCTAANCCATAATTCCTTTTCATATTCGTCTTTAAACGTCTGCAGAAATAGCATTGTTTTTAATTTTCTCCAAACCTTGGTTACCACTTACGCATGTTTTTTTCTCTTCACGACATGCTCTGTAATGTGTATTTTCACAGATTTCTTTTAGGTCAAAATTTAATACAATAAAATCACTGATCCACTGATTTCATTGTACCAAACTAAGAAAGCTTAGACTGCTACTTTAACTAAATTAAATTACACATTGATTACATGCGATATATCTCGGCAAACTAAAAGTAAACTTTTGAACTGTGTAGTTGCTAATTTTATTTTAACCTTGGTTTTTTTAATAGTCGATCAAAATACATCAGATTTGTCCCTACTCTTTGCTTATGTGTTTCTGCAAAATAGTGTAGGTACTTTCATTATGGGGTATGGAAACGAGGTACAGATATGGAATGTACGATTTATTATCAGACCTTTTTTGCACTCCGAAGTCTGAAATAATAAAAACAGATTATTAAATTAAAAAATCATAATTATGTTTTATACAGATACTAATTTTTCATTAGACACCGGCAACTTTGAGCAATAGTCAAATAAATGAACAGTAGCAAACTATATCATGCTAGTAACCGGCAATACGTGCAGAAATAGTCTAAATCTGTGGTCAAGCCCTGTGCCGCTCTATGCTTACAATACACAACGCTACTGACTACCATAAAAACACGTGGCATAGCACTGGACCAAGCGGCCTTCAGCGAAATACCTGAATTGTTCAGGGTACGCCAAGAGACAGGGCAGGCTGTAGGATACATACAGAATAAATTGATCGATGCGAAGCTTTAAACCAGAAACAGACACGTACATGTTATTGCACAATGATCAGGACAGTGGGATTACTAAAATGTGAAGTAATTGATGCTTCGCCACCATTAGTAAAAATAACATCTATTAAAAACTTATTATAGATATGCGCATGTGACCTCGATAAATGTTGAACGGTCATTTTCGTTTTTGAAATGGATATTTATTGCAAAACATTTAGGTTAACTGTTAATTAATTTCTACAATCGCTTGCCTTATGAGTAAAAAGTTATTATTTTGTTAACTTTTGCTGATAGGTACCTATTATTACATACTATACCTATAAATTTTATGGTGGCGTTTCCATGTGAAGCGTTTAATATAGAAAACTAGACACTACCCTTTTTTGTTTCATGCTGTTATTCAAATACATACATATTATAATAATTGTTAATGTTTAATGTATATTTAATATTAATTTAATTTTTTTTTTATAATAATATCGAAATTAAAATTAAATTACTTATTTGAATTAATTTATGTTATTATTATTATTAAATTGAAATTATTATTATAACAATAAAACCTTAAAAGGGACAACCGTGGAAAGGACCTGCTCGGCCGGAAAGTTAGATGGCGGGGCGTTTGCTGAACCTCATAAAAGTTCTAGACTTTTCAAAAAGGATCAGGGTTGTCAGTGTTAGTTTTAGCATATTCGAATTTGACATCTCTTGTCTTTTGAGATTATTTTACTGTTAATTCCACATTAGTTGTAATAAAAAGCTATAGAAGAACTTCTCGTTGTTGAAACCATGTATTACGGCTCAGGTACATCTCGGCTAAATAAAGAAAACCTGCGGTGAAGTGATAACCCAAATATTATAAGTTAACTATACTTAGATTTTTTTTATATTGAAACACTCATCTCAGGGGTCAGTTCTAGTAACAATATATCACAATTCATAGACACAACAAAATTAAAACTCGAATCATAAATTATGTCTATATTATAAATTATGAATTCAATGATGGCTCAAACAAATTCAATATCTCTTGTATTTCTACAAGCAATTATTGTAAACAATAATTCTCAGGTAACAATATTTACTAAAAATACTAAATTCTAAATTATTTGTATACAGGGTGGTCCCGAGGTAATGGGCCAAAACTGATGGGTACATTCCCGAAGCAAAAATATTGCGATTTAACCGAACTTACCTTAGTCCAAAAGTTGATAGTTAAAGAGATACAGGGTGTTAAATGTAAAATATTATTTTAGTTTATTTCCATTTATTTCTTAATAAATGCAAATATCTACACAAAATTTTGGGGTTTGGGGTTCTTTGGATAGAGGAATTGAAATTTGTTCACATTTTGGTTATAGTTCATAGAGGGCGCCAGCTGCCGTAGATTGAAGGTGTTGGAAACGACATAACTTTTTTGTACTTTAAGGTATCTCATCTTTGGTATCAAATTCTTATTTTCCAACTTTTTTTACACAAAAAAGGTAGACTTTATGAAAGTAGCTGTCTCGCACCGTTTCCGAGATATTTGGCTTTGAAACTTCCAATGCTAATAGTTGAAATAATTAAAATAATTTAGAAATGTCAAAAACAAGGGTTTATTTAGAATTAAAAATTGTAATGAACAGTAAAATAGTAAACATTAGTAAAAAATATGCCTTTTTGACAATAATTGCTCAAAATGTCCACCTCTAACTTCAATACATTTATCAACACGTTTATTAAAAGATTGTCTTATTTTAAAGTATAAATCCTTAATGCGAAATGACTTTGCAGCATTTAAAACCTGCTACTAAAGTTCTTCTCAAGTGTTTATAGTTTCTCCATAAACAACTGATTTCATGTAACTCCAAAAACGAAAACCTCGGCATTCTATCTCACATTTATGTATACGAGTATACAATTTAATTTGTAAGCTAAGATGTAATTTTAATTAGATACGAATAATACTTAATAGAAATTAGCATACAAATGACAGCAATAAGACAAGTGGAAGACGTCAATTATTTGATTTTCGTCCAAATCCTACTTAAGAAACTTTACCGCTAAATTAATAATACCTGTAGGTACTTAATTGTAATTTAATGCAACAGCATTGGAAGTTTCAAAGCCAAATATCTCGAAAACGGTGCGAGATAGCTACTTTAATAAAGTATACCTTTTTTGTGTAAAAAAAGTTGGAAAATAAGAATTTGTAACCAAAGATGAGATACCTTAAAGCACAAAAAAGTTATGTCGTTTTTAACACATTCAATCTACTGCAGCTAGCGCCCTCTATGAACTTTAACCAAAATGTGAACAGATTTCAATTCCTCTACTCAACGAACTCCAATCCCCAAAATTTTGTGAGGATATTTGCATTTGTTAAGGAATAAATTAAAAAAAACTGAAATAATATTTTACATTTAATACCCTGTATCTCTTTAACTATCAACTTTTGGACTAAGGTAAGTTCGGCTAAATCGGAATATTTTTACTTGGGGAATCTACCCATGAATTTTGGCCCATTATCTCGGGACCACCCTGTATATAATCAACTTTATAAAGTATTTTTTTTATACATACATGTAATAAATTTTCAAAAATATTATGTTTCTAGTATCAAACTTCACAATGTCTTTCTACTGTCTATGCATTTGAATATGGCACATAGGTATGGTCTTTAATATTGCATATATTATCTTGATTCTATAATAACTTAAATTGTTCAGATCTGTCAAACTTGTAACTTATTTTTGATACTTTGATATTGACTTTCATAACACAAATTAATTACGGAAGTACCTTTTTTTCTT